ACATGCAAATCACCTCCAAGCGGAGGTGGGGCTGTTAACAAAAGGGGGATTAGCCTCCAAACAAGTATTGAAATCTATGGACATGTTCGTGGCAGCTCTGGGAATTGAATCAATTAAAGTCACAAAAGAATCCATGCAGTCTATCTGTATGACCCTAGATAATATAACATAGGATGCTGCATGTATACAGGTACAATTAGCCCTTAATTAACATCTTTTGCATATTATATGAGACATCACTTTATACCTGTGGCCACTAGGAATATAGGGTCACAACTTGCCATGCAACATAAAATCCCGATGGGCTTTTAGGGATACATAGACTGTTTTCTGGGAAGGATGTTCAAAGGGGATTTGCCAGTTTTGAGTAAAGGGGATGGGAAACGAGACGTGGACCAATGCGCAACTTTAACAAAGAGGGTTGGGGGTTAGTGCATATGGTGTTGGGTAATACATGGAGAGATATAGGAAATCTATACAACAAGTGGATCACAATTCATAATAAAAACCCCTCAGAATCAGGCTCAAGTAAATCTGGGTAGGGGTGGGCAATTTGTGGGAGGAGTGGCCCTATGCCAAAACAATACATGCTGGAGAATTGGTTGCATTTGGGCAATGGCTTTGTTGGGAGGGGAATGTTACCCTCCTCTGGGAAAACATGACTATTATGCAAACGCAACTGATAAATAAGTGTGTGGCTCCTTGGGCTCCTTCTAAAATGTGACTAGGGTTCCCCTCTTGCTGCTGTGCCTGAGCTACTTTGCAATGCCACATGACAATCATCTCATTCACCCTGGCAAAGTCTGGATGAACACAAAAACCAGGAGCTGGCCCCTACATTTTAGACTTAGCTGTAGGTATCCAGTCGTAGCCTTGCTTTGAGGTAATGCAGCCTTCAGCTTCAGGTAATGCAATCTTCAACTTTACAATGAATATTACACAAGAAGCAAAGATCACATTTATTGTGGTTGGTGATACATTGTATATAATGATTAACAAAGGCCTTAATGGCCTTCCAGAACTGAGAACAAAAATATTAATAGATGTACTACTGTAGTTTCAACTGCTCTTTACAGATACTGAATTAGAAAGATCAGACAAATAAATTTTAATCTATTACCACACAGATAGAATTAGCTAACATCTCTTAGCTAACAGAGTACATCTCTACAAAATTATGAAAGACGAACGTGATGTCCCAAGCAGAAATACTTTTACACTAGGTCATAGTTGTTAATAGTTATTTTTGTATGCTCCCCGCATACATCTTGTGATAATTGGCAAGAGAATTTTGTTCTTCTTCTTTTTCGATAACTTCAGTCTCTCCAGTGTCAATAATAACTTCTTCATGGACAACATCTCTAGGTGATTCATGCATCTTGATGAAACGCTGAAGTACTTCGATGTCTGTTTAATGAAACAGAAGTATAATTGGATTCTAGCTGTGGATAGAAAGGTTGTTTTTATCTGAAAACATCAAGATTATACTGTGCTGGGCATTGCCCCTCTAGCTGACTCAGAACAGTAAACCCAGGCATCTGTTCGCTTATGTATGGCAATGTGGGCTCCTTCAAAATCTTCTGAACTCTTTCATTTAGAGAGAACACAGCAGGAGTGTTCCTCTTTTCCCAGGAAGCACTTTGGGTTTTCTTTAGGGGCAAAGCCACTTTCAGAAGTTCCTGCTGCCCTCCTACGCAATCTGTGTTTATGGTCCTTGTATCCACTTCTTTCCTGAAGATCATCACCTCTCTGCCTTTGTCAGTGTAATGTGCCTTGCTGTAAACCGGCTCTGTTAACTGATCCAAGTTCAAAACACAGACACACCATTTTTTTTCTTAACACAAATCTTTATCTAGGGGGCATCAGTAGGAATGTTTATTTTTGTCTTCAGAAGGTCAAATTCTGATAATCCTTTTGTATGTAGTATCCTATACAACCAATGATCCCTTTTTTTCTGATAAGATCACATTTGATAAAAATCACACTGTAAGGCTGCTTGTGGCAATGGATCTGAAATATGTAAGCAGGATTTGGGAACCTCTTCTCTCTCAAACCTAGATTTCAGTAGGCCATTAAGAATTAAAGCAAAGATATCCTGTCCTGTTAATCAGCATGCCTTTCTCGAGAGTATGTATTTCCCAAATTACAGGAATCCGCATATGGAATTTTTCAGTTACCTCTCCTCAAGGAGTCAGGACATGGCAGAGTGAAAATGTCGTTTTGCTTGTTTAGAGAGGAATGGGGGTTTTTTGCATCCTGCATACGTAAGTAGAATGTCAGGAGATCTTCCCTTTTTGGTCTTTTGCTGAGGTGCTTCTTCCGCCAGGATCTTGCTGACTCATCTTCTGTCTGACTGATCGTCGTTATGCGCCGAGTGGTTTTTTCCACATATTTCTCACCTTCCAAAATGCCACAAAACAATTAGTGACTGTTAACTTCAAAATGAGAATCGTCCGAAGACAGCATAATGAATGGCCAAGGGAAAGCTTTGTCAATATTTCTCAAGAAACAAGGCCTTTATGTGTGAGATCTTGGTGGTCTCTGTGCACCCATCAGTTCAATGCTGGATGCATAAGCTACCTGTAAAGTCTGACTGCACAAAGTAGTCATGGCGTAAGCATTTGAAAATTAAATACACATTCAACAGAACATCAGCAAAGGTTATAAGCAAATATCAGATAGTAAAGCTTATTGAAAAACTTACCTATGTTCATCTTTTGCATACAGCCAAGAGTGGGACGGTCGCACGGTGTGTGAGAGAAATCAAGCGTTTTGTGTCAGGAGGATCAATAGTTTTTAATGGTGCTGATCCCAATAACTTCTGTTTCACTCTTGGATCTTTGTTTCTAAACTGCTTAGTAATAGACCGCTGCTAGGCAAGATAAAAGATTTGTCCCCCTTTCTTCTTCATGAGAAGCTGATCGCAAACTCTTGAGGAAATGGAAGTAGATGCTGCATTTATTGTTGGCCAAAACAAAACCAAAAGCAACTGCTTCATACCTGCAGAGTTTGCAGAGCCTGACTGGCTTAATTGCTCCCTTGGTGAGGTAAGTGGAAATGGTATGTTGAAACTTAACATATCTATATAAGGCTATAAATAGAAACAAGTACTGTGGGATAATGACAAGAACGTTTATTGCAATGTTCTTCCTCCATAGGCTTTCAGTCAAGCTTAACCTGTTTGTAACGACCTACAGCTCACCCTGAATAAGTTGAGACCATCAGAAAAGGAACTGACAAGTTCACCACAGCTTTTAGTGACCAACAATACTTTTGACCAACTCACTGCAGTACTTCGAGGTAGAAACAAGTAACAATGTTTCCTGTAGAAAATTAGCGTAACAAAACCCCATGCCAGATCTGGAGAAAAATCTATTTAACAAATCTTTTAACAAATTGGTTTTACACACTCACATTAATGCCATAAAGGAATGGCGCGTGTGATATGCTGGCTTGTTGCCATCTCCTCTTGTAAGCACAGGGCCCTCTGTTGAGGAGCCGTCTGTGCTATGGTCTTGTCAGCATGCCGACCACCTGGGCTTGCCCCACTCCTTGCTCTGACTGACTGGGAGCGGCGTCCATCATTATCAATGCAGACCATACCTTTCACTCTCGTTCCGCTGTTTCTGCTGGTGCTGGCACACATGCTGCCACCCACAGCAACCCTCACTTTTCTGTTACAAATCTCTACATTATCTCTTTCCCCAACGCTCAGAAGCAGAGTCTCAGATTAACATAAGAACAGATGCATTGGGGCAACCTAAACTCTGCATAGTAGCCCACTTCCAAATCCCCGCTTCTAATGCCTTGGGGAAGGGTATTAAGACCCTGGCAATCACCATATTGCTTCCTGAAACACTGTTACATTTCAAAGGTGCATGTTCAGGACTCCTCAGTAGACTGAACTGACTTTCTCAGTTCTGCTGTATCCTTTTTGATGCAAGGGGACCTAAATTGCATGTAACCTTCAACAGTACACATGTAGGAACACCATGGATTTTTTTATAATGATAGAATACTTTCTGAAGTCTTTTCTATTTCTTCTCTAATAATTTCTAACACTCAAATTCCTCTTAACAACAAGCTGGTGTTTCATGGGGGATCATTACTGAAGAGTAATGATCACTAGACCCTATCATGTTGCTTTTCCTTTCCTTTTACCTACAGTAAATTTCATCTGCCAAGTGCAGTGAGCAAGTTTTGTGAAGGTCTTCCATAGTGTTTTATTACCAACCATTGTTATTGCAGGCCTGAAAAGCTTATTCATCAGCTTTTCTTGCTGTTGGTGCAGTTTCACTCTTCGCTCCCTGTCAAGATCAGATGAGTGTGTTAACCACCGCAGGCCTCTCTACACAGCACTAGTGTGACACATCTGGAGTGCTGGGCCCAGCGTTCTGGGCTCTCCAGTACAAGACAGACATGGACATACTGGAACAAGTCCAGCGAAGGGCCTCAGCAATGATTAAGGGACTGGAGCATCTGAAATACAAGGAGAGGGTGAGAGCTGGGACTGTTCAGCCTGGAATAGAGAAGGCTCAGGGAGGATCTTATCAGTGTGTATAAATACTGGACAAGAGCGTAAGGACGACGGAGCCAGGCTCTTCTGGGTATCCAGTGACAGGACAAGAGACAATGGGCACAAAATGAGAAAAGGAAATTATGTTTAAACATAAGAAAAACTTTCTAGTAAAAAAGAGTGGTCAAACTCTGGAACAAGCTGCTGAGAGAGGCTGTGGAGTCTCCATCCTTGGAGATACTCAAAACCCAACCGGACCCAGTCGTGGTCAACCTGCTCTGGCTGACACTGCTCCATGCAGGGGCGTTGGACTACATGATCTCCACAGGTGCCTTCCAGCCTCAACTATTACATGATTCTATGAGCATTAAAAATTGCTGTATGGCAGATTATCTTTATGTTATCAGCCTGGACAATGTAAGGTTGCCAAGCGTAAATGCCATGAAAAACAGGTCACAGGCCACGTTACTATCAGGAGCACAAATCCCAAGTTTATTAGGGATCCACGGTGAGGCAATCCTCCTACTGAGCCTCTACAGCAGCAGTCTGTTAATTTTGCAATTCTGGTTTTCTCTCACCAAACCTAAATAATGGAGCAAACGGTGAATTAACTCTGCAAATACTTAAAAAAAACCCCCAACAAATCAAAAACAAAGCAAAAAAGTCCCCATGCAACTCTGTCAAATGAGTATACATTACAGACCTTCAAGGGTTTTTTATAGTTAGTGTATGAAAACACTATCCAATGAATACAGGCACACAGACATAATCTGAAAGGCAGCCCAGAAGCCAAAAATCTAAATGCTTTCTCAGAAAGTACTCACTTAGCATGCATATACAGAAGGGTGTATAAAATGTTTGAGAGGTATATGTTTAGAGAAATCTCGTGAATATACACAAACATTTTGCCAGCTACAAAAGGTTAGCAAAATTTGAATATCACCTGATTCAGTACTTTCAGTAATCTGATTAAAATATACAGTCCATAGTATATAGTAATATGCACAACCATTTTACCAGTGTTTTCAAAATTTCAAAATTCAACAACTGTGGAAGTATAGATTAAGACTCACTGATTTTACAGACACATAGCACACTTGAAATGGAGTAAAACGAAGTCCTGTGCTTCACAGGGGCTAATTTCACAATATCCAGGAGGTCCATATTCCTTAAAATTCAGCTTTAGCAAGTCCACTTGCAAGATTCATGCCAGGTCACAGGGAAGTGAGAGTGTTATGCAAGGTTACAGCCAAAAATACTGAAGTCACACACACCTTTAGTAAACATAAGCATGCTAAACTATTATTAAATGCATATATGATTTTAATAAACAGGTATATTTTTTAGCTGGGAGACATCTTCTCCTGGTGTACTTGAAGGTTTGCCTGAAGAATCATTTTCTGGATTGCATACAGCGTCTGCAGAGGAAGATGTGTTGTTTGCGCCTGGTGACTGTATAACATTTGCTCAAGTCTCTGAATACCTGTAGAAAGGAAATACAGAGGGAAATACTGACTGGACGTATGGAAAAAAAAATTCACCACGAGAGTGATTAAACACTGAAATGGGTTCCTCGGGGAGGTTGCGTAATCTCCATCTTTAGACAGTCTCAAAACTTGACTGAACAAGGCCAACCTGCCTCAGCTGAACAAGAGCAACCTGCTCTCCGACTTAAGAGACTGGCCCTGCCTTGAGCAGGAAGTTGTACTGGATGACCCGAGAGTTCTCTTTCAATCTACATTTTTCTCTGACTCTATATGCTCCCATTACTTCACAGATGTCCCCTTTGGCAACGATATAAAGCATTCATTCAAGGTTAAGTAAGTATTTGACAGCACAGGAGATGGATACCTTTTTCATATCCAACATGAGCCACATAAAAATGAGGGATGGTGGGGAATTCCCACACGTTATAAAGCATAATTTGAAAGAGTAAAAATCCTTTCACATAAAATTTGATTCCTTACTTCTGATAGAGTAAAAATAAATTTAAAAATTAAATTCTGAAAGCTTTAGAGGTTTAACATAATCCAGCTAAGTGCTTTGTAACTGATGCTCTGGGCCAATCTAGTATTTCTCAGTTCATATGAACTCTAAAAATGCCCCTCACAAGCTGAGAGAGACTAATTAAGTTTGAACTCATTATTTATAATGTTAACGTTTCTTAAAACTTGTGTGCTACTACCTGCCATATTAGAAGTAAAACCCACTTACACAAGTAAATCTTATCTACAGAATCCGAGAAAACCAGTCTAAACCATCCAGGTTCGTAACAATAAAAAGCTTTTCCAGGACTAATCAGGAGTTTTTTATCAAGGAACTTCTGCCATAATTCAAGTTCGGCTTCAAATGTCTGTGATCTTAAGAACTAAAAGAAGAAAATAATTTTTTATTAAAAGTTGAACAAGTGCATGAATTCATTGAAACTATTTTCCAGGACCTGATACTAAAGTGTGTAACAACATGCACAAGTAATTTTTACATTTCCAACTTTCACATTCCCACCCCTTTTCTAACTTCTTACATACTTTTCTGAAGTCTGCCCACACATAGAGTCCTCCTGAACTTTTGAGCACAGGTATTCCAACATCTGCAAGCCCATCCACAAGAATATTCTGTGCTTCTTTAAGTCGCTTTTTGTTGGTGGGAAAAAACACGTTATCCAACCAATCTATCAAAGCAAGAAAAATATAATTCTGTTTTATTTCCACCTGCAATGGAAAAATAAGAGTTCAATGGAAACATTTCTAGTGTGGCTAACCTCTGTCCCTAAGGAACTGACTGAGAACATGCTGAACAGGTCCAGGACAGCTATGGAAGACAGCCAGTTGATTCACAGCTTTCTGAATTTCATGATTTCTGGTGTACAATACTGCAACTCTGATACCACTCATACCAAAATCCTTGGAGGACAAAAAGAAGAGAGAGAGGTGCAATTTTTACGTTATGTTTGTGCTTTGTCAAGCCACCAAGACTAGAGTCATTGTGATGCACAGGAAAAAAAACCTTCTGGAGAAAATTCTCAGCGTTGCCAGATGGAGTCCCTAGTGTGATAAAAACCAGCCAGCAACTTCTAAACAACCCTGGGGCAGGGGGGTCAGTGGCTTTAACAGGGTTGCTTTATATGCTTGGCTCATACCCTTGGGCTGTTCCCATTATACCCCACTATCGTTTCCAAGCAGTCATCAGTTTACTGTTCCCTCCAAGAGAAGAAAAGGCAAAATGCTACAAATCTGAAATGTGCTTATATGTTTCAATGCCTTTAATACATATGCATTAACTGTTGCTGCTAAGTAGATCCCACAAATTTTACACTACCAAAGAAGAAAACAAATTAATAAACAAAGAGAAACTCAGTTTGGCACCTGTAACACAAATTATGTCAGAATAGCCCAACGAATTTTTGTGGAGAAATATCTTAAATTAAAACACAAACATTGTATTTTGACCTACCTTGCTAAAACCCCACATAAAATGTGTCCGTTCTGGATCTGGTAAACTGAATGAGAAAAGAGGAAGACAAGAACTGTTGCTATAGAGGAACAAGTTACGCAGGTTACAAAAATGTTTAAATTTGTAAAATTGTAGTAATTTTTTAGTAAAATTGGTATATAATCCTTTCAAGTGACACGACATTTTTTCGGAGATCTTTTAACAAAAGATTATCCTGCGACACTGATCTCCCAAGTGTGTGCTGAGGCACTGATTTGCAGGAAAAAAAACACAGAAAGAATCTGCACTAAGATGTAATGGTCCAGTTAAAATCCCAGATTCCCACTGCATAGTTAGTGATCACGCCCATATTAAAACAAAAGCAGTATTTCCATAAGTGATGCACAACTGCTCTTGTACTTGATGGAGAAAAATTGTTTGCTCAACTGTGCTGTAGTTCAGGCTAGGGAAGGGAGAAGTGAACATTTTAGGGCATGCATGTACACAGTGAGGTGCAACTAAGCAAAATACACCTCAGCATATCACTGCAGATGATGATTTCTTCTCCTTTGTGTAACTTCGTGTAGGTAGGGCCAAGGCTGGAAATTTCCTTCTTCAGCCTAATGGAGCTGGGTGAACTTTCACAATAACAAAAGTATTCTTTTAGGCTTCATTTATGGTTCATGATCTCGTATGGGTGAGGCAATACCCAGCCACTCACTGAGCTTGGTTGTACTTGCATGGACTTGGAAATTTCCCATTGGTATGAAATTTATGCAGTTATACAAAGACAATCACATACTTTTGGGGAAAGAAGTTTTATTAGTCAGATACCAATAGGTTTAAATATTCTTGAATCATTTATTCTTTTCGTCACCTGTTAGGAAACTAAGAGCCCAACAGCATACTAGTCAGGAAGGAGACTCATTATAGCAGGTAACTTGCACAACCTTAGGCAACTTCATTACCATTACAGTGAGAGCCTTGCTCAGGCTGTGTAACAGGGAACAACGAAGAAAAGCGGTGGCAAAATGATTAAGGGCTCTGTCAATTTTTATTGTTATTACTGTATCATCATACACATTGGCTGGAAGCAAGAGATCTGCCATTTAAAGCCATCTATGAAGAAGATCTCATGTATTAACTAGTCTCATAGTTGCGAAGACTTGGATATGAGTTCATTTGAACTGTACCAGTTATACTAGCTAACCAGAAGTTTGAAAAAAATGGTATGGGTTCTATTTGGGATTAAATATGTTCTAATCCCTCCTAAGAAATCACACTTACCAATCTAAGCTAAGAACACTGGTGAAGGTGGTATCATCATAAACAGACAGCATGTATATTTCATCCATTATTACATGCAATTCATATCTATGTATAGAAAAATAGAGTCATATTAACATATTTAAAAGAAATTTCTTCGCATATATATATGTATAATCCCAACTACCGCCATAGCAAAGTATCCATAAGCATGCCTACTTGCTATTGTATTCCCCCTACAAACCTTACCCAAAGAGGTCACAAGGTGTACTGTGAGCACTTGTGCATCACCATCTTCTATTTATACACATTCTGTATTTCGCAGCAGCAATAACATTCCATATATCTGAAACAAAATCCAACTGCATGCTCAATCCAATGGTTCTCTGGAATATGTAAGGTCCCACCCAACTCTTATTTAAAATGAACACAGTGGTATATTATAAACTGCTTTACCCTGCAAGATTTCTCCAGTGAGCCTCGAAGTCAAATGCAGGTGGTGTTAGATTTTAAAAAAGACTTGCCATGCACTTAAGATATAACTCTCTAATACACTCTCGCTGTGAAAGCCACAGTAAACAGTAAGCCATGTTATCATACTTGATACCAACAAGCCATGCACATATTTATAAATACTGAAAAAATTGCAGAACGGTTTTAAACACCCAAGTAGTGCAGGTGTCCTCTTCTAAGTAAACCTCATTTAATTTGATCGTTGAGTTCTATAATTTTTTTAAAAAGGAAGTTTGGTTTCAGGACAGTTTTTACATTAAAAATAAAACTATTGTTTCTAATCCTTAACCTCTAACGTTATTTTAGTACCAGCTTAAGTTGGTTGCATCCTGAAATCCATGGGGCATGCTGAGAAAAGATACATTTGCCTTTTTAAAAACTTGGTAACTGGAAGTAGCGCATTGAATTCTACTGTCCTGGTTTTGGCAGGGATAGAGTTAATTTCCTTCCTAGTAGCTGGTACAGTGCTGTGTTTTGGATTTAGGATGAGAACAAAGTTGATAACGCACCGATGTTTTAGTTGTTGCTAGGTAGTGCTTACACTAGTCAAGGACTTTTCAGCTTCCCGTGCTCTACCGACTGAGAAGGCTGGAGGTGCACAAGAAGCTGGGAGGGGGCACAGCCAAACTGGCCAAAGGGACATTCCATACCATGTGACGTCATGCTCAGTACGTAAACTGGGAGAAAGCTGGCCGGGGGGGGCCACTGCTCGGGGACTGGCTGGGCATCAGTTGGCGGGTGGTGAGCAATTGTACTGTGCATCACTTGCTTTGTGTATTATCATTATTATTATTACATTATTATTATTATTATTTTATTTCAATTATTAAACCGTTTTTATCTCAACCCACAAGTTTTCCTCACTTGTGCTCTTCCAATTCTCTCCCCCATCCCACCGCGGGGTGGGGGGCAGTGAGCGAGCGGCTGCGTGGTGCTCAGTTGCCGACTGAGGTTAAACCACGACATCTACCAACCTCCTCTGCTGTTTCCATGAAAAGAAAATCATGCCAAAAATGCAGGAATGTTGTGTTATCCCCAGTAATCTTTGGTAATTAATGAACAACTAATACCAACCTACTCTATTTCAGATTGTCAGAAACTAAGTATTGTTAGCTTCAAAGTGTGTACAGGATTTTGCGGTCATTCTTTGGCAGAAGCTCACTGAAATAATAAAGGAATATATCTTTTCCTAAAAATATATAAATGCTTTTCAAAAGGAAATGATTTTTCTCCATCAGTACTCAAGGGATTCAGGAGACTGTTAGAGCTTAGAACATGAACTCTGAGCTGGTTAGGGATAAAAGAAGTGGAATGGGGATGAGACATTTCAGAAGCACCTTCCTCTGATGGGAAGTGAATTGCTTGCACATCTCGAGCTAAGTAGGTATAAAAGATGCTACAAAACTTCAGACTGTTGACTTACTCCTTGCCAGTTCAATTACTTTCCCCCAATATCAAATGTTAAGATTTTCTTTTTTTGACAATGTTTCAAATGACGGTGCTGGCCATGTTTACTACTACTGCTAAAGACTGATCATCACCTGTTGTCATTTTTCTGAGCCGTGCATCAAAGCAGTTTAATATAGAAACTTTGTTAGCCAAATAAAAAGCTTTATAAGTTTAAACCACACATAAAAGAAAAAAAAAATCCCAACAGTATTTCATTCAGAAAGACATTGTTGGGTCCCAGTTTAAGCAATTTATTCTAGTGTTCCCAGGAAGGCCAAGTAAATAGGATAGTAACACAAGAAACATCATCAGCGCCCTGCCCACCACCTCCTCTGAACATGTACAAGCAAAGAACAGGCGACCACCAGGGGTGATTTTTCATCACTGCTATATTGCATTCACGGAAAATGAAACACCAAACAAACAGTTCTAGGGCTCAAACCTGTGCGCAAACTCTAGACATTCTTTCAGTAACTGTGCTGGGTAAATGTCCCCTAATGGATTGTGGGGGTTGATCAGGATTAATGCTCTGACTCGGATGCCCTGGAAAAAGAAAAGCTGGTAGTCGGAGGCACAAACAACGTCAAACCAATGACTAGCGAGGATGCAGCGAGGAAGTTTGTGAATGCTTCAGCGAAAAGCAGCTTTTGAAAAGTATTTAATTACATACTATAATTACTACTCAGACTAAGGTTCCAGCTACCGCCCTTGTTTCATAATTTATCCAATACCACCACAAAAACCATACTAAATAGTTCATTAGTAAATGAAAATCAGGTTAGCACTCATTTGAAACACCCATTGATAACAACAGGCAAGATTATGGTGTTGTAGGGATTAATACTGGTTCTACAGGCACACTTCCAAAATAATTTCCCAGGACTGAGCAAAGTTACTGTTGATAAACATGAGAAAGCTGAACAGAAATTGGACTTTGACTTCTAATAACCTGCCAAGTAATAATTTTTTCAGTGTTGCTTTTTTCTTTAAACAAGTAATGGAATCTGCAGAAGACTGAAAATTGAATTACTTGGTGTTCTATGAGATGCCCAGAGGTCTTGGGCAAATAATTACTTTTTAATTATATTTATCAACAGTGCAGAATTTCTGTTACGGAAATTCTCTCTCCACAGAAGCTAAATATTCTACTGTGTAATAAAAAGAGTCCCACATGGTCAAAAATTAGATTACAAGTACAAACATCACCACTCTACAGGTATTTTTCAGAAAATCATCTAGTTTCTATTTGCTAAAAAAATCCTTAATGTACATTAACATAAGCTCTATGCAGCTTATGTTACATAAATACATTTTTATTGTACACAATCAAACAGTGCAATGACTACAGCAGGAACTTTCAAGACTTTAAACATATCAACATGAGGAGTTGCCTTATTACTTCATGTTTGGGATAAACTTGAAATTAAATTATTATTTTTTGTTTCCGCATTTTTAGTTTTCAGAAAACCTCGCCCACTGCAAATTCTCACTCCACCCAAGCCTCCTCCAAAGGAGATTATTTGCAAAGACCAACTCCCAAGGAACTCCAGGAAATAAAATTCAATGATGAGGAAGCCCTGATATTTGCTTTCCCTGCCACGTGCAATTTGTTTGAGCGTTAATGGGTACTGTGAACAAGAACTTCACACAAAATGAACTTTCAGTGTATTGCCTTTGTTTCCAGGGAGAAATTATCTGAAAACAAGGTAAGTTGTAAATACTAAGCATAAACAGCTGTTTCACAAGTTGTCCTTGCACAATAGCATATTTAGTGTGTTAGTACATCCGACGTGTATTAAGCAGAAGATGCTGAGTGAGGCATTATTGTTCATAGGAACAGCTGCTGTGGAATGGCAGTTTCTCAATTGCTGTTCTAGTCTAGGTCCTCCAGCTATTTATGATATTACATGCATCCAAAGCAGATGTTTCTAATATTATTCGCGAGAACAGTTGCAGCTCTAAAAGGATGACAAACACAATCTGTAAAGAGTTAACCTGGCCTGTGATCCAGCACCTTGTCCAGCCAGTTCGTGTCCTGGCAGCCACAGTAACACTGCAGGGATGCTAGCTGCCTCCCTCTGCTAGGATCAAGTGATAAATGTCTGAATGCTCGGGCTCACACCGGCTGGCAAAGGCACAGACAGATGACACAGACATACAGATGGTGTCTAAACATAGGCACCATGCTGACCAAGCAATTAGCTAACTAGGATAGCATCAACGTATCTATAAAAAAATGTTACGCACAGACTTGCGTGTATCCAAAGTACCCACTTTTTATATGTGACCTTACTTATAACTGACCTTTGTAAGTGACCTTCCTTGTAACTATATGCTTTATCTATTGTTAAACCTCATTTTCTACCCTGGAAGAGGACACACGAAGTCCATCTCGATGTTTTGAAACATCACTACCATCATCACCACATCTTTGGTAAAATGTTTTACTATTCAGCCTGTGCTTCCTCCGCTGGATCTTTTCAAGGATGAGCACAAACAGTTAAGGTTAAGTGCATTTATAATTTTCCATGAAGTGAGTGGATTATGAGTGTCAAGACAATAGGAAGAGGAAACATTTTAGCCTGAAATACTGGTGAGCACTATTTTGTGGACACTCACAAAACCAAACATTTCCACAGGGAAGGCAAGCAGTTCCAAAGACAGATAGGAATGTGAAGAAAAAAAAAAAATTGTATGTGACAAGCAAGAATATCATCATTTATGCAGTCCTGATCAGAATAAAATCACTGAACATGCTAAGTATTTTGAACTAATGAAGTTTCCTAAACTCTGGAAAAATTGCATTTGTTATTTTTTGTTTGCTAGCAATTCCTTGTTAGCTGGAACTCAGAAGAACCCTCTTCAAAACCACGTTAGACATGTTTCTTTAATTAACTAAGTGGGTCGTTACAGTCGGATATTCTCTCTTCTGAGGCTCAGAACAATAGCTTGCTTACAACACTTTGAATTCCATTAAAATCTACAGAGAAAGAAACTTGGTCTTGAAACGCAGGTTAAGTTCTGTTCTTCATAAAATAGAGTCAGGGAGTTTCTCTGCGTTTTGTTATAGTGCCCAGATTATAAAATCAACTCGACTCCTGTTGCTAGAGTTGGACCCGCCTCCGTCACAAGACTGAAAATCTGCACAGATGAAACTGTACAAATGCTTCGGTGCTGAGAACATACGCTGCTTACAAAATAACAAGGAAAACATGAAAATCAGAAATCAATGTTATTGATACCTGCTTTCTAGCTCTCTGTAATGCATCTTCTAATTTTTCAGCTGTTAACTGGAAAGGGTGACTTTCTTCATCAGTCACCTACAGAACAAAAAAAATCAACGATAAAAAAATATTAAAAATATGAAAAAATAAAAAAAGAAGATAGTGAAGAAACGCTCCTGCCTAGTGAAAATACAATTGCTACTGGCTTTTATAAAACAAAAGAATCTGAAACTAAGATCAGCCTTTTCCATAAAACTCAATTATGTTGGTTTTAGACGTTGCCCTTATCCACGACTACACTATCAGCGACTTACAGAAGAACTTGTGTACTTGAAAGATCAATTTTTTTCCCCCCTCTGACTGTATCATTTGGTCTTATAAAAGATTCTACCCTCCTCTGACTTGCCTCACAGATTACTGAGCTTTCGAAGGGGGAAGCAGTGTTACAAAACTTATGTGGTAGATACATCTTTCAGTGCTTAAGGGGAAAAATTTGCAAACCAAATTTACTCATAGTAGGAGTGACAGACTTAGAGCTGATGAATTATAATTCAGCATGTCAGTGCAGAACAGCGTCTGACGGAATGGATGTAATCCTACACATCTGATGACACCAGCCTCCTATCACGCTGCAGTCTGAGAAAAAGACAGGCTGTCTCTAGAAGCGCTAGACTGGTCCCGGCTCTTCACTTGGACTCGGTTTGCATTTTCAGGTTTTTTTGATTGTTCCCTCTGAAATGTCTGTTAACGTATGTGAATAGCTAAAGCTTTACCTCACTGAACAAGGGAACGTGAACAGGCTGTATTCCGCCATATAGCCATGTTTTCGAGTTTATACCACCATAGTATGGAGCTGGAATAAGATATCCATCTAAAAACATTAAAAAATGGAATGAACTTTTCTCATGAGCAACTATTTTGCTATATTCTAATCGACTAAACTGACAAGCTAAGAATTTGGCAGCTGATTTAATCTCAAAGCCTTCACTGTGGCCTAAACCAATATTTAAACAAAACTGAAAATTAGGCATACGTCAATCAACCCAAATTCGTTCCCAATATTCTTCCTTAGCATTTGCAATAGCAGATTCAACAGTCGTATATATCTTCAGCAAAAGGGAACGGACCCGATCAACTGCTTGTTTTATTTATTTATTTATTTAAATAACAATGACAAATAATGATCCTGCGCTCAATGTTTTGCTAATGCTCGGCTACTACCATTTTTTCACCAGGAATTGCCGCACACCTCAAGTACTTCTTTCTGGTTGCCAAGGTGCTATCTTGCAGCCAGGGAGCCTACAGCACTGTGGAACTTGTTTCCCTCCTGATTTTTTTTGCTGTGAAGTAGCCCCAGGCTGGTGTTCTCCTGGAGATACTGCAAAAGCCCTGCGTGACAGGGTTTCAGAGGGGGCGGAGTGGGCTTCCTACGTTAACGAAGGGGTAAAAAGGAGCCTGTCAGCGTTCAAGCAGAAGAGTTCCTGTTAAAACTGTGCAAATACAATGAAATCTGAACATACTAAAAGACACGGATACAAGAAGCCTTCAGTAAACTATCATTTAAAGCTAAACAAAACTAACTGGTTTCACGGCGCTTTTGCCACCAATATGCTGAAGTCATTGCACCACGTTACTCTACATCACTCCACCATCCTCCCAAGGGCTTTTGGTGCCAGTAACAGGGTGCTATGGGGGCGGCACAGCCTCCTGCACCAGAGGCCACGTAAGTCATCCTGCTCACCTTCCTTCCCCGGCAGGTCTTCGCGGATTTCCCCATTCTCTGCTGTACTGCACGCCTACGCTGCTCTCCTCATTCCAAACGAGAGGAAACCATTTTCCTTTGCCGAGCTCTCTTTTTCCTCCTACTGCCTACTTCTGCTGTGAGCAGATTGTTTCCCAGGACTCCGCTCCTTCTGCTTTGCATTCCCACCTCTGCTTCCTCCTCACCACCACCCTTATCTGACCGGGAATCCCTCTTTTGATGCAGCTCCTTTCCCCTGTCCCAAATTCCTTCTACGTGTTTTCCTTACCTGGGTCCCAGATTTCAACCCAGTACACCTCCCTCCCTGTGTGCCTGCTCCCTCCAGCTTCCACCACGGTTCCCACCTCTTTTTGTCATAACTTTTCAAAATACACTGCATTCTCTTCATACCCTTCTCCTCTTCCTCTAATGCTCTTAAAAAACCATAGATTGCATTCCAGAAAGCGAGTGGGCCTGCTGATACCTCAAACATTTGCCACCATTCTAGAAATAGAGGCATTATTTCAAAGACACTCTGCCAGTGACAAAGAAATACCACGCCTTGCTTCACTCAGGCGGTTGGAGTAACAGCAGGCTGTCAGAAGTCACAATACGATTATATGCACTGCTAACAAATGGGTTTTTTTTAGTAAAATAATCAAGTTTTTACTCACCACCAGGGTCACATAATACGGTTGACAGAGTAGCAAAAACAGCACAACAGCCATTCATAACAGTTATCTGAAAGAAGTAGTACAAACTTTCATTTAGCAACGAAATATTTAGCAGCAATATCAGCACTTGTTTAAATTCATAAATTCATAACTATCAGCACTAGTTTAAATTAAAAAAGAGTGAAAAGCCACACTACTACATCTATAACACTAGTCCTTGAGTGTTACACCTTGCCCACTTTTTCAAATGGAAAATTAACACTACTAAGACTTGTGCAAATCTTGCATATATCCCTCCTGTAGCACCTTGCTGACATTTGTGTTCAGATTTATTCATCTTTATCAGTTTAAGAAAAGTAAGATGCAAGGATAAGGCACTTGGCTTACATGGTCCGGATTCAGTGCTTTTGCAGCTCTGGCATAGTCAGTTAGAAATTTGGCAATTTCTTCTCTGAAGCTAAAATACAGAATTAAAGTCAAATATGCAATCCCATATTTCTCAGGGGGAAAAAAGCACAAAATACACACAGAAGAATGAAGCTTACCAAAAATAGAACAAATGCACAATTCATTCTGTTATGAAAGCCTTGAAGATTTTGATTAAATAATATAATTTCCTCAGATATCCAGTGTGCTACATTTTGTGAGACAGAAGCACACAGAAGCCATCTGTTACCTTGAGTAACAGTGACTGTGACTCAACGATTATTGCTGTACACTAGAAAAATGAGAAAATAACACGTCTTTGAGCCCGAGTGGGACCTGTTTTTGGAGAAAGGGCAAGAATTTGGGTACCAGAAACACTGAAACCTGAGTCAATGATAATTCTTTAGGTCAAGACAGGCTTTCAGCCCGAGTGAAGGCGATGGTGGAGTTCCTATCGATCTTCAGCGAGCCAGTATTTCACCTCTACTCTTCACAGCCCCCAGAGTTTCAGTTTATCCCTCACCGAGCCTAGAATTAATCATTCCAGGAGCGATTCACCACATTGGTACGATTCACCACATCAATACGTGCTCTCTTGCTTGCCGACAAGTCCCCAGATCTTTGACCTTTCGCATTCTGGGTCTTTGTGGCACGCTGAGGGTGGGGAGAAAACCAGAACAAAAATCCGGAAAAGTAACTCCTGCACCCAAAGGAACCCAAAAGCCTGCCAGCGTGTAGACGACAGTAACACACCTATCCTTTGGGCCTACCAGAGGAATGAAACCCCACCCAGCTTCACACAAGCCGTGACCAGCACTGACAACAAGCAATGTGATAAATGGGAAGATGAACTCCTTACCTTCTAGTACCTTGCGTATCAGAATACTGGAAAAGATGGGGCTGCAGATAATTCATGTCAGGTCTTGTGAGCTAGTGACATGAAAGAGAGATACTGTACAACACAATGTTCTTGGGAGTTTCTGTTCTGCTGTAGCAGAGTAAGACTTGATTTTTTTTTTTTTAATTATTCAGTAACATTAAGGAAATGGAAAATATAAAAATTCATGAGTTACGATTATGTTTATACTTTGCACTTCTCTTTTTTAGTTTTAAGATATTAGAAAACAACATTAAAACATCATCAAAACGAAGGAAGAAAATATTGAAAGAATTATTTATTGGATTATTCTGTCATACATTAAAACAAGTCCTGAATAAGGCATTGAGGAAAAGCATCCCAGCTGTACCTAAGAGATTATGCAGCCACTTCTGAGAGATATCAAAGCTCAAACAACGCTTGCAATATTTATGGTATCAGCTTTTAATTCACATGTCAACCTTGACTAGCTTCTCAACCAACAGAAGAAAAGTGACAGCAACCCCATCTGTTACAGAAGAAAAACAGCTGCATTATCAGCAGTGGCTTTCTTGCTCTCAAAGCAGGTGCGCTCCTCCCCCGCCCTGCCCCGCCCCCCGAAAACTGGCTCAGTCCTATATTCATTGTGGCATTGATTTTGGTTTATTCCTAAGAAAAAAATTCTCTCCAGCTGCCAGCACTGCCAACTCATCAGCTAACCAATGTGTACATGGAGTTTATGCCTGACCCTCCATCACAAGCGTTGCAAATGCGCTAGCAGTTGCACGAGTGCAAATTCATTACCTCATGGAATTAGGAAGGAGAAGCAAGAGGTAATTGGCAAGCTGCAGAAGCTGGCCTGGCAACTAGGTCTTCGTTTTGCTAACACATAAGGCAGAACACCATGCTTTGCAGCAGATGAACTAGGATTAACAACTTTGGGGAAAATACCGCCTTTAAAGAATTTCTCCACAGCTGCGTTGCAGGGACTGGCTCTTGCTGCGGTGCACAGCAGCATAACGATTAGGTCATAGCTTTAATTTTGCTCAAAGTCTGAATTTCACGTATGGAGCAGTTTCAGTCAAAGTTTTGGCTTTGCCATCAGACAGGTGAGCATCTCATCAGGCCATGCTTTTCCCCTCCGAAAATACACCTCTTCCTGAAAGCTACCATTCCAAAGCAGTATTTTCTGCTGAAACAGGAACACACTCTTGCAGTTTGTAGTTTGTGAACAGACTCCGCAGTTCTGTTTGGAGTACGTGCTCAATCAAATGTGAAAGAAGTTCAAGCAAAAACCAAAACTACTCTGGTTTTCAACCAGAAGCAAGTTTTCAGTGTAACTATCACTTGGCAAATTATTTCCAAGTGTGCAACTGGAGCAGTACATAGAAACATATAAAGTATACAAACATATATAAAGTATGCTTCCTTGTGAAAGCTGTTGGTCACAGCACCGTCAGTATCCCACCCTATACGTTCCTTCGCCTGTGCTAAATTGTTAACCGGACGCTTCAAAGTTGTCGAAGATGAACTGGTGGTTAAATCCCAATCAGCCAGAAGACGGCAACACTTACTCTCTCCTCTATTAAGTCAAAGCAAAGCTTGTTCTCACTCGTGCCCAAATTCAGGATGCCCTGGAAGAGACGGCAGTTGCCAGATGACACCGCTGCGGGCGGAGGAAAGCACCCG